AAGCACTCCAACAATGACAAATCACGGYGATAGCATGAATAAAACATCACAGGTTTTATTGTGTAATACATTTTATAAGGTCAAAAGTTAAACCTAATCAGCAATGGCAGCCTTGGATTCTAATTGATTTAAAATTATTCTACATCCAAGRAGTAAACTATTACATATGCTCAAAAAAAAATCAAGAGTTAAATATATATATTTCAACCAATATCTGTTTTTTTCAGGCATGCAAATTTGAACAAATGGACACCTTTCAAGCGACCATGCTCTGAAATAAATTCTGATGCTTTTGTTTGCATTTCCAGATTAATACGCATTCTGATAAAAGCATGAAATATTACCAGTAAGCTGYGTGGCTCTCTAGACCTACCACAAATATATTATCTGGAAAGAGCTGGATACTGAACRCAAACAGGCTGCTGCCTTCCCTCTACTTATCACTCTGCTGTTTCAATATTTTTTTCTTTGACTTTGCCCCCATATCTCAGCAAGTGACACATTCCCTACTGAAAACCACATTTATGACAGGTTTTAATACTTAGAATGAAAACTTGTGCCCATTCTGCACAGAAAGTACCTGAAAAGTGTACTTTCATGCAAAATCCTTTTTTTGTGCTTTTCCCAATACACACTTACTCTTTTTTTGTATCAGAGATYTAAAATTGTCCTATGCAATTTAAATAAGATTTCCAAAAACAGTAACCTTTTTACAGGGAAAAATCAGAGCATTTCCAGTTGACAAAATAATTTGCGAGGGACATGCAAAGCACCTGAAAAAACAGACTGCAAAGAAACCATTTTAACTATAGCAACAGCACTCACTGCATAATGTTAAAAGGAAAATTATGCAATTAGGTCTCTTATCAGACTTATGAAAATTCAGATTATGCCATTTGGGGGAATAAAAAAAGAAAAATCATTGTTCACCGCATCTCCCTTGAGCACTACCTAGGGGAGGGGAGTGATGACCAGACAGTGAAAATTAAGAACATGTCCCACCTTACGCCTATTCTGCCAATCTGTCGCAGTTGTTCTTCTAGCTCCATAGGTTTACATGATTTTTTTCCACTAATTTTTTTTTTTTTTTTTTTTTTTTTTTTTTTTTTTTTTTTTTTTGCTGACAAGTAATACAAGACAGATTCTTGCCTTCTTAGGATCTTGCAATCTAGTTTAGACATAGCACGTCAAGTGGTGATGAAAGAAGGTTAGGGTGGGTTTGAAAAGATGAGGATTCCAACAGTAAACGATGCAGAGACATCAGTTTGGTAATGTACACATGTTTTGCATGATTCATTGGACCAAAATGGCCAAAGGAACTTAAAAAGCTGTCAAAGGCATCTTTACCTCTGACCTACCTAGTCATCCATCTGCTTCCTCATACTGTCAATCAAAACCCTCCTATCCTTATCACTATTCTATTACACACATTTTCCACAACCATTTCTCCTCCAGCTCTTAAAAAATATCTTAGCAAACATTTCAATCAGTCATTAAAAACCTTGTTAAAATATGCAATGTGTCATCAAATATGCATAGCGTACTCGTGCAAAATCTGTAGAGCGTAAATCACTGTATTACATTTGATATAGTATTAATGTGAAACATCATAGGAAGYATTACCAATAGGAACTTTGAATTACTTTCTACAAATTTGTGCTTAATTTTGTGTTATCTTAAATAAAGGAAGGGCAATTGAATATTTTATTTTACAAAATAATTAAATTAAAACCCATTCAGCATGCCTAGAATAATTATATAAATAATACTTCTCATAAAATTCATGCGATTAATTGCTGTTCTAACAAATTCATACACGGGGGTTTGCKTCAACTAAACTGCACACGCTGCAATTTATACACACCGGGTCAAAACCCGCACATTCACTCTTCGGTGAGCATAAACGCTTTAACGTTTGTAAACATATGTTTAGGAGATACACAGGTGCACTTCTAAAAATAATATTCTAAAAAAATTATAATAGTAGGAAAGTGACCTACCGACAGRAAATAGCCTTTTTAACTTCTGCAGCCCTTATCTCTTCCAGCCTCTCGCACAAATAGTTATGGAATTATCCTGTCGAAATAGTTATGGAATAACATCAACCACTCTCCACAGGAAAGAATTTTGTTCAGACCTGTCACACGTTACGTATTTATCCCAGACCTGCTGGATAACCCCCGCTAAATAAAACCTGGCGGAAGCTCCCTGAGGAGCGGTGTGCCCGGGGACAGCCCGGCGGGCAGCAGCCCCGGCACCGCGGCAGCAGCGGGGAGGCGGCCGGGGAACGCCGCGGTGCCTTGGCCCGCTCCCTTTGCCCCCTCGGGGGGCAGCGCGACGGGACTGGCAGCGGCGGGGGAAGAAGGGGCGGCTTGTGCTGGCCCAGAGAGGAGAAGGGGGCCGGGAAGATGCCATGGTTTATTTAGGGCGCGGGAAGCCCGGGGAGGGCGCTGGGACAGCCCCTCACGGCGCCGCTGAGGGGGCAGCGGAGAGGTGCGGGCGATGCGCGGGGACGTGTGCGGCGCCCCGGCCCCCGCCGCTCGGGAAGAGGCRGCTGGGGAAGGGCGCGCATCGCCCGCGCTACTCCGAGGGGCGCTCCCGAGGGGCACTGTCCCCACGGCTCCTCTCCGGGAGGGTCCCGGGCCAGTGCCTTGAGCCCGACGGCCCCGCGGGACGGGCACCGCTCCCGCTGAGGGCCGCGCGGCCCCACGAGGGCGGCGGAGGCGCGGGGTGCGCAGGGCCGCGCTCGGGCCCCGCACCTCGGCGGGGGTTGAGGTGACGGAAGGCAATTGGGCTGCTCAGGTGTCCCCCGTCAATACCGCGCCAGAACAGAATCCCTCTGACGGCTCCGCACCGCGCTCACCCCACSGCGGAATCAAAAGTAAGCCTGGCTTGTTGCCCTCAGCCCCTGCGGCCTCAGTCCGCGCAGGTGCCGGGCCGGCGCCTGTTCTRGAGCCCACAGGTGGCTGTCTCTAAAGGGGGCAGAGTCCCGGGAAGGTCGCGAAGGGAAGGTAGTGCTGCAGGAGTGGGGGCTCCGCTCCCGCGCAGTAGGGCAAGCTGCTCCCCCGAAAGGGCGCCCACCTTGGGGACACCGTCATTACAGCCCCCGCCCTGGGAAGGCGAGGGGAGGCTGCGGGCGGGCAACCGCGTCCCCTCGCCTCTGCTCCGCCAGCGATGGCACCCCCCGCCCCGCGCCAGGCACCTCTCCCGCCTGCAAAGTGCTGTCAGGGTTTTAAAGCGTCAAACACAGGGATAATTATAAACCTCTCAAAACCGACCGGGTTTCATCTCCCTCTTTCAGCGACTGCAAACCTCCACGCTTGGCCACGCGGTGCAAGCACTATCCCCTACGCTCTTCCATCCCCCCAAAAAAGGCCAAACGCGGGGCAAGCSGACCTGCTCCGCCAGGGAGAGCAGCGGCGGGACTCCCGCTGCAGAGCCTCGCGGCGGGCCGGGAGCGGGAGAGACCCCCAGCCCCTTCCCCTGGCCTCACCCGATCCCTCACTTGCAAAACGGCGAAGTGCTTTTTTCCAACACGACGTTAACGTTTTGCCAGGTTTATTTTACTTGTTATACACAGACGATACAAACGGGCAAAAACCGAAACATTTCTCAATGGAGCATGTACTGGTATAAATTATTCAGTTCCACAGACGTAACAGAACAAATATAAAAATCACAACATTCGATTTACAGAAGAGTCAAAAATATACACACGTTTATGACCCTGAATTTCTATTAGGAAATTTCCCCGTCGAGTGTAATCTAGACTGAGTATTTAGCCTGATGCATATTTCAGTTCGTAACTGGTTTGTTTTGTTTTTCTTCCATATAAAAATGCGTTAATTGTATAGATTTGCTACTCAAAATTCGAAGACTTACTATTCTGCTTCGCCGGGCGGGGAGTCCTGGAGGGATATTAGTTCTCCTTCAGTAGTATAATAAGAGGTTTACAAGAATGGTCACTCTTACTTTCGATGTGCATTTGATTCCCCAGGAAGTCAGATCTCGGTTAGCTACTTTATGAAAAAGTCAATTCCAAAACTAAATGCAGTAAAATATACAACTCACAACTCATCTTCACTGGACTACACTATGGTTACCAACAATTCAGTCGTCTATATCTTTTTTTCTTTTTTTTT